GAAGAGGGGGGCGGCGGTGTAAGCCTGACGACGGCCTTCGCGCCGGTTGCTGTCGATGGCCGCCTGGAGCTCCCCCGGGGAGCTGAGCGCCCGCGTCTCGCACTCGTATGGGTACAGGTACTTCATGTACCTAGGGGCGGACGGGATGTGGGCGCGGGGGTCTAGCCCTGCGCCCAGACGCCCGCGCGGGGGCCACCTCGCGCCCCACCCCACCGCCCCCTCCAGCCTCGTGCTCGCGCGCCTGGCCTCACTGGGTGCGCAGAGTGAAGGCGGCCGACGTGATGGTGGTGGGCAGGCTGAGGCCGCGCGTGACCTCCCGCCACACCTTGCGGTTGATGACTTCCACCAGGCCGCCCTTGGCCGTCACCAGGCGGAACAGCGCGTACAGGTCCAGCACCTGCTTCGCCATGATGGGCACCCGGTTCACTGGCGTCCCTGGTGGGGGGTTGGGCAGAGAGTCAGGACACAAAGACTAAGACCCTGTGTGCGGGCATCCTCGGGGGCTGAAGGAGTCACCTGCCTGCACGAGGCCGGGGTGCAGGGCGGGGCACCGAGAAAGAAGGGGAAGAGGGGGAGGTGGAAGGTGTTGATATTGCAGACAGAGCCCATAGAGCCCCAAGGAGGGACAGGACGCTAGACCAGGGGTAGGCAAACTTCTTCTGTAAAGGGCCAGATGCTAAATGTTTTAGGCTTTACGGGCCAAGCGGTCTCTTCGGGACTACTGCGCTCTGCCACTGCACCCTGGAAGCAGCTGTGCGGCTGTGTTCCAATAAAACTTTATTTGTGGGCTCTGAAATTCCAATTTCACACGTGTGGAAATGTTATTTGTCTTTTAGTTTTTTACACTGTTTAAAAATATAATAACCATTCTTAACTCTCAGGCAGCTAGATTTGGTCCGCAAGCTTTAGTCTGCCGACCCCTGGGGTAGACCGTAGGAAGGACTTCCTGAGAGTGCCGACGAGCCCGACTCCCCCAAGCAGCGGCCGGGGGGTGGCTGTCTGAGGCCGAAGGATGGTGGATGGAGAAGCGGCGGCCCCTGCCTCGGCTCAGCAACTCCCGCGCCGCCCCCGCCCGGCCAGTCCTGACAAAGGGGCCTGTCTGCGCTGAGCGATGGGCCCCAGTTAATTCCTTACCGATCCCGTCCCCTTCCGCTGCCGCCTTTGGACCCGAACAATTAGCTGCGGCCTGATTAATGGGGGAAAATTATCGGCCCCGCGAGACCCCCTCCCCCTGCAGAAGGTGCGGAGGGAGGCAGGACTCCAGGGAGGGAGGGAGGACTCGAGGGAGGCACAGCTCTGGGCCTGGTGGGGGAAGTGATAGGGTCTGCTCAGACCACCCTACCCCAACTCCCAGTGGAGGGGAGACCTCAAAAAGGGGCAGGAAGGGTACACTGGGGCCAGAATGACTAGGTTTCCCAGGGGAGCAAAAGGACCTGGGGCCCCACTGAGGGTCCCTGGTCAGGACTGGGTCTGTAAGGGGTGTTGGGCCTGGGGTGGAGGCCTGAGGGATTGGGCCAGCTTCTGCACTGGTGTGTGTGTGGGGGCAGTGCAGCCAGTTAATTAGCAGCTTATCAGGCCACGCTCGGAGTGAGTTAATTAGCTTTGTAGAGAGAGATAATGAGTCAGTCTTTGGACCCATGAATCTAGGGAGAAGCCTAAGTGATGGACTGCCACCCACCCTGATCCCCTCCTGGACCCTTCTTGCATTCTCTTTTAGCTCTGAGATTTCTGGAAAGGAACTCCTCCTCCTCCACAGCCCCAACTCACATGGTTCTCAGCCTACCCCTTGAGAAGTCCTTCCTTCAGTCTAATCCCAGTCCTTCCTGCTGTGGAGCACACTGGGTGTCCCCTGCCTGAAGCAAGGGGGAACTGAGGAGAGACAAGGCTGGAGGAAGGGTAATCCAAAGAGGACCAAGGTATTC